AACCAGGGTGGGGTGGGGTGGGGGGGGAGGAGGGTTGTCAGTTTCCACCTCTCTTAGGGCTGTTCTTTCTATCTCTATCTGCAGACTCAAGAAAACAGCACTACATATATTCACACTTTGAAGCTTATCTTTTCATCAAAAAGAGCTAGAGGTTTTTTTTTAAAAGAAAGGTTAAAATCTCTGAGGCCACCATAGAAGTGCCAGTACAGCATGCCACTGAGTTCTGGCTCACTTCAAAACCTACTATATCCAGAGGGGAATTCCCTTCTTTGTAATAAACCCAGTAAGACAACAGCATGGAGAGAAAGCTACTGTGTGGGTTTCACAATTAAATAAAAGTCTATAAATACAATGAAAATAAGTTTAATTAATTGGCCAAGTTTGCATGCCTTATACTCACCTTGATGGCATTTCTCTGTGTGGATGCAACACAGCTTTTGAACGCCACAATTCCAACATTTCAGAGAGTGTTCTAGGCATTAATGGGTAGAACCTTATTGATTCTGGGGGACAATGGTATGGAAGGAGGGTAACATGGTGGACCCTGGCACCTGCAAAGGGAGAAATGGGGGGCCCAGAGAGCCCTGGCATAGAGGGAAAGGTGAAGAATGGGGAGACACAGAACCTCTGGCATGGGAGAAAGGCATGGGGGGGATAAACAATTCTTTACTGAAAATGTTGGGGAGATTCCTACCTCGAGCGTGATCTTTCCTGATAACAAAGATGAGACACTCTCAGAAACTGAGGCAACAGAACTAGTAGTGCTGGAGCAAACTGCTAGCCCAGTATCCTGTCTTCCGACAGTGGCCAATGGCATATGCCCCAGCGGGAATGAACAGAACAGGTAATCATCAAGTGATCCATCCCATTGCCCATTCCCAGCTTCTGGCAAACAGAGGCTAGGGACACCATCCCTGCCCATCCTGGCTAATAGCCATTGATGGACCTATCCTCCATGAACTTACCTACTTCTTCTTCTTCTTCTTCTTCTTCTTTTTTAATTTTTCTCCTGCCACGATAGTGTGTTGCTCTTTTGGGTCTTTCTCAGAGATCCAACCAAGATGAAGAGGGAACGCTGGACAGGTGGCAGCTCATACTTCAACAAACCCTGGATATCAACATCTCTGGACTGGGCAATAATTGTCCACTTGCTCACTATCTAACCATCAACTGTTATTGCTTGTGCTGTCTGCTTCTTCTTTTGTTTGATTGGCTTATTGAGATTAGCAAATGATTTGACATTATGCCTTTTTATGGGATCAAAGAGGCCTACCTCACCCCTTTGGAGCATACTGGTTACACACTGCTTCATTTCTTGTGTGCCATTCTCTTATGCACAAACTTCCTGCAATTTCAGGTAGGGCCCAGTAGATGTTGCAATGTTCACAAGTGGCTGGCTGTTGTCTGGGCTTGATCCAGTTCAATGCTAAAAGTATTTGCCATTCTTTCTGTCACAAATTTTTTAATAACTTCAACAGCAGTTTCATCTGCAACCCTGCGCTTTGTGGTAGCTTCTTTGTGGAGATCTGTGCTCAAGGATGCACTCTACACATTTATTTTGTCGTAGCCGTTACAGCTGCCTTAAAATGTGCAGTCAGGAAATGCTTGGTCAGAGCCTTATCTTTTGTGTAAAGATGCTGATGCTTCACACAGTCCTTGCTGAGAGATTGCTCAATGGTTATGTCATGCTGTACACCACTGAAGGGTCTGGCAGTATGGTATACTGCTCCCTGACTATCAATTAGGGCATGTTATATTATGCGGTTTCTCCTCTAGAAGTCTGGCTTCTGCTACATGTACACAACCCCGTCTAGCATAATTCACATAACCACACTGGAACATGGTACAAACAAGCTCAGATTGTCATGTGACTACAGACTTTTGCTTTAACTGAAGGCAAAAAAGATACAGGAGAAAGCATAAAATATCACCTGTGGCTAAGTATTTCCCAAACACTCCTATTCTGAGTACATAGTTGCATTATCAATTGTGTTGAGGAGCTTTCTGCCAATTTTGGTGAAAATTAGATTATGTACCTTTGAGATATAGCCTTTTTAGTGATTTTATGATTTTTTTTTCAGATTGGTTGCCGTATAACGTTTAAACATTATGTGATATATAAAAATTGCACCACTTCCAGCATCTACATCCACCAGGTGATAACGACCATCAGCTTTGTGCCTAACATGTTGTAGCAATACATTTTTTTCTAGTGGATGGGTTGCCCTAACTCAGAAATAAGACTCCTTTTTAAATCTGGCTGTTAGACTAATACTGCAGCCATCACAGGGGTGTCTGAGATTCATACAGTAGCCTGGAACAGGAGTTCCCAGCATTTCATATTTGTAAATTCACTTTTAAAAACTGAAAAATGTCATTGCTTTCTGGTAATTATTGATATTACAGTAAGTGCCCAAAAAGTGCTAGGCCCTGTATAGACATATAGGAATACACCATCTGTGCTGCAAAAAGGTTGCAGTCTAAACAGGTATATCTGATATAATGATATCTTGTGTAAGAAATATTTTAGAAATGTAAATTCTGGGACCAGTAACCTGTTCTGAGCCTGTTTCTTGCAGTGCTGCAACATGGTTGTATGTACTGTATATTATACGAAAGCAAAACTGTTTACAGAAAGTATTCTAAATAGGTGAACTTGTTTTACAACGTTGAGATCAAGATTTTTATTTAATAAAACTAGAAGAAATTAAATCAGCAAGCAAGAAAAGCAGAGCTTAATGAGAACTAAGATAACTGTAAGATATGGTATCAAGTGTTTCCACATTAAAAGTATCTTTAGATCCATGCTGCCAACTTGCCAAATAAAGATATTTACATCAGTCCGCATTATTATAAAGATATGGGTTACAAGAAATAAAAATTAATATTTAATTGTATCAATACACATGAAATAGCCTTGAAAAGGAGTGGGGGCAGGAAACTGCTGCTGCTTTACCCTCAGGCCTTGTCTACACTACCAAGTTTTGTCGCCAAAAACTGCCTTTTGGCAACAAAACAGCAAGAGCACACACACTACAATGGGACTTTTGTTGTGAAAAATGCCCAGTTTTGGGGACAAAAAAGGTCCACCCCATGAGAGACTTTTGTCTATTCCCCTCCCTTTATTGTCGACAAAGAGCCAGTGCAGACACTGCTGATTGTTTTAGCGACAGAATTGGCTTCCGCCAGTATCCCACAATGCCTGCCCTGATGGCTCTGCTCAGTGTTTTGATCTCTGCTGCCCTGCAGGCATGCGCCCCTCCCCTTTCAAAGCTCCGGGAAGTATCTGTGTGCTGTTCCCTTTGGGGAACTAACAAAGAGCAAATCATGGGAATGCTCCTGTTCTGCGCTGCACTAGGAACAGAGCAGCAGGCAGACTGCTGCTGCAGGGGGAGGGGGACAGACTGCTGTGCTGCTTTGCCATTGCTCAGCACGGAGAGCTGCCAGAGCTACTCATGATGCTGCTCTCAGCAGCTGAGGGGGCTGTGGGAGAACTTGGAGATAATTCCAAGATGCGCAGAGATCAGCTCTTCCTTCCCACAACACTGCACTATGGGATACATACCCACAGTGCATTGCTCATCCATCGATGATGGTGTCCTCAATGTGGATATGATCTGTCAACAGAGGGAGCAAGTGTGAACACCCCTGGGAGATTTTTGTTTTGTCAACTTTTGGGTGTCGACATACATTTTGTCAACAAAACTTGGTAGTGTAGCCAAGCCCTCAGAAATGCTGGTACATTCTTTAGGTCTACATTTAAAATGCTAAAGCGGCACAGCTGCAGGGACAACACTACCTACGCCAATGGAAAGAGTTCGCCCGTCAGGGGTAATTCACCTCCCGGACAGGTGGTAGTTAGGTCAATGGGAGAATTCTCCCATTAATCTAGCGCTGTCTACACCAGGGGTTAAATCGGTTTAAGCTACATAGTTCAAGGGTGTGGATTTTTCACACCCCTGAGCAACATAATTATACCAAACTAATTTCCTAGTGTAGACCAGGCCCTAACACTGTCTACACCTGGTGTTACGTTGGCATAACTACGTCTCTCAGGATCATGGATTTTTTACTTCCCTGAGAGAGGCAGCTATGCAGATGTAAATTTTCAGTGTAGACAGGGCCGGCTCCAGGCACTAGCTAAGGAAGCAGGTGCTTGGGGTGGCCAATACAAAGGGGCAGCAGTCTGTCCGCTATTGGAGCGGCCCGTCCAGGTCTTCTGCGGGAATTTGGCGGTGGGTCCCTCAGTCCCTCTCTTCCTCTTTGAGCTGCTGTCGAAGAGGAAGAGAGGGAGCGAGGGAGCCGCCGCTGAACTGCTACCCAAGAATGGAGCGGCACGATTGAGCTGCCGCCGATTGGCTTTTTTCTTCCCCCCCCGCTTGGGGTGGCAGAAAACCTGGAGCCAGCCCTGAGTGTAGACCAGGTCTTAGTTCCAAATTATGCACTCAAAAGAGCTGTAGAACTTAAATCGAACAATAAGGGGTATAGTACAATAAAGAGTGGAGAAAAAGAGGCCAATCCATTATTGTAAAACACTACATATTTCAGAAAAATCTTATAAAAACACAGAACATTTAAGTAACCTACGGCACGCACATTTCCAGTGTGCAAGTACTTCATCAAGTAATAGCACAAGTATGAACAACTGCCATGCTTTTATGTAATGGCATCAGGTTTCGCTATAGGCTGCACTATTAGGCTGGCATATTCATTTAGCTTATGAGTCATTCATTGTGTAAACATCATAACAGAGACACCTACAAACTAATGAATTGTGAAAGAATTATAACATTTCCCCCTTCAGGCTTCCACCAGAATGTCACAAAATAATGTTAATAATCACAAAAGCTAGTTAGCAAAAGAGGACTTATGCACTAGCCAATAGTCAAGCCTTTGTCTTTTACAAGTCAGCCAGTAGCAGTCGATAATTTTTATTTGAAACAACACCATTCACCATAATCATGTTGCAAAACACTAACAAGAAAAGGTAACAACTGAGATAGAAATTATCACTTTTATTTCAGAGCTCTGGCTTTTATGACCATCATCATTACAGACAATACACATCCGTGCCATGGAAATTGCAAATTTGAGGTCTTTCATAGATTTTTGCTGTTCTTCAGAATCTGAGCTTTCTTGCAGAAGCGGGAACAGGGGAAGGGGGGAGGATGACAGTGTATATAGCCCTTTGTTTTGCAAAGACAGCTTTAAAAAAAACCAAACAGATACATTGCCATCATGTCCAGTCTGCAGCCAAACAGAATGAAAGACTAGCACTGAGAAAAGAAGGGTGTTGTTCAGCTACAGAATTACAGCAACTTAAAAGACTAAGGCCATGTCTACACTACAAACTGGTTAACTCATATCACTGGTGTTGTCAGGAATCAGGGTCTGCAGCAGAACCAGTCTCCGAGCAACGTAACAAATGCAGCTGGCATGCAGTAGGCTGCCCAGTGGCCACACTGCCTGATTGGTGGGAAGAGTCACCGGATCAAGCCTTAAGACCATGCTGCTGCCATGGAGTTCTCCAAGGTCTGCAAAGGTGAGTCTGGGATATTTGGACCTGTTGGTCAACCAGGGTCTGCAGCATTTAAATTTGCTCCTATTAAGTCTTGGTGTATCTCCCCCTTTCCCTGCTGGCATTTCTTCTGTCCACTTTTCCCCTCTCCATACCATCAGCCCTTCAGGCCCTTTGTTCACAGTCCGATGCAGCACCAGCTTGCAGGACCTCATTCCGTATGTCCTCTCTAATCCTCTTCTTTCTCCTCATCAGGGTCAAGTGTTCTGTGGGTGTGGAGGGGCCCCATAACAGCAACAGCTCCTGATTAAAAAACAGATCTATCATTGGGCTTACAGTCACAACAGAGAGAGAAAGGTTAGTTTCAAAACTCCCTTCCCTTATTCCCATAAAACTTAATACAAGACATGCTTATTGACACTTCAGCTTTGGAGCACCGCACCACTCTCCAGCCCATCAGGGTGAGTATGGCCCGCTGCGAGGCAGGGAATTTCAGTTGTAAGAAACAATAAAATTCCGGTCCCTATTCCATGGGTACGTGTACAGTGCAACGGCACTGAATATTGGCACTATTTTCCACAGGCAGTGGTGATTTTAGCTGCTATCTTACTCCTGAGGGTAACAAAAGGCACAGAGATGACAGCTGCTACTGGTGTCCTGAAGCCACATGGGCCTGCATGCCGCTAGCTTATTTACTGCAAAAGAGACAGCCAAACTCATCACAGGATGGCATGGGAGAGTGTCCTACCGCAGGGGAAGAAATAAGACGCCCAATTCCTAGAAACCCTCAGGAGAGGATTGCAGAGTATTTCCATGAAAGTTTCATTGAGATCTCTCAGGAGGATACAAGGGGCATCTTCCCCCATGTACATAAGCAGCAGATACCAACCCTACCTCTGTTTGTTATCAGGGCCAGCTCCAGGCACCAGCATTCCAACAGGTGCTTGGGGCGGCAATCTGCAAGGGACAGCAGTCTGTGTGTTTTTGCCACCCCAAGCAGCGCGCCGAATTGCCACCGTGGATGGCGGGGGCAGTCTGTGTGTCATTAGGGCGGCACGCGTGTTTCCATGTCGGTGGCAATTCGGCGGCAGCTTCTATGTTCAGCTGCCCGCGGTGGCAATTCGGCGGCTTTTGTCTTCCGGCATGCTGCTGCCGACATGGAAACGCGCATGCCGCCTTAAGGGTACATGGACGGTCCCAACCGTCCGCGGCAGCAATTCGGCGCGCTGCTTGGGGCGGCAAAAATAGTAGAGCCGGCCCTGTTTGTTATACTGCTATCTCTTCTATTACGAGTAAAACAACGAAAAGTCGATACCTGTGTCTTGTTAACTTGGGGATGGGTTAGGTGCCATTTACACATTTAAACACTGTAAGGGGAAAATACAGGCATACACTTACCTGAGGTCCCTTCCCCTTCAACAGGCTAGTCCATGCTCAGCTGGCAGGACTGGCTAGACAATGCAGGAGTCTCAGGCAGGTCCTGGCTCCTGGTATAGGTGGACTCCCCTGCATGTCACCTCTCTCTGCTTGTTCTCCTTCCAGTTCATGGCAGGGGCCCGTGGCTTAGGCTCCTCGGAGACATCCACAGTAGCGTGCACGGTAGCGGTGGGGTCTCTGCCAAGTACAGCCTGCAGCTTGTCATGACCTATGAGGGAAGATCGAAAAAATTGGTTTAGTCTGGAGAAGAGAAGACAGAGGGGACATGATAACAGTTTTCAAGTCCGTAAAAGGTTGTTACAAGGAGGAGGAAGAAAAGTTGTTTTTCTTAACCTCTGGGGATAGGACACGAAGCAATGGGCTTAAATTGCAGCAAGGGAGTTCTAGGTTGGACATTAGGAAAAGCTTCCTAACTGTCAGAGTAGTTAAGCACTGGAATAAATTGCCTAAGGAGTTTGTGGAATCTCCATCATTGGAAATTTTTAAGAGCAGGTTAGACAAACACCTGTCAGGGATGGTCAGATAGTCCTGCCATGAGTACAGAGGACTGGACTAGATGACCTCTCAAGATCCCTTCCTGTTCTATGATTCTATAAAAGCATCAGGTCTGCGACTCAGCACCAGTTTGATTGTTGGCCTCCATGGCCTTGTGGTATGCCTGCAGCAGTTCATTTGCTTTCATGCAACACTGCTGCTGAGCCGTCGTACTCCTTTGCCTGCATCCCCAGACAATCTTTTCATAGATGTTGACACTTCTACATCTTGCCAGTAGCTGTGCCTACACAGCCTCTTCTCCCCACAGGCCCAGGAGATCCAATATCTCCTGTCCACTCCAGGCAGGAGTGTGTCTAGTATGTAGAGCTGTTATGGTTGGTTGGACAGTTGCACATGAGGGAGAGCTGCTAGGTATGCACGCCAAGATGGGCGATCAGGAAAAGGTATTTCAAAAATATGCAGTGGGCTTTAAGAGGGGGGATTGCTGCCAGTCTCCATGACCCCTGGGCAGTAGTGTTTACAATTGTGACAGAGAGGTCAGTGTCCAGGGAATGGGGCATTGTGGGACAGCTGCTAGAGGACTGTTAGAGTCGACACAGGTTGTGCAGTGTCTTCACTCCCCCCGCATCAAGTTCGGTAAGTTACCACAGCTCCACACTGTTTGGGGAAGGTGGTTTTACTGTGCCACCATTACAGGGTGTTTATATCAGCCGGAGACAAATTGGAATGTAGACACATATGCACAGATAGGTTGACACAAGGAGACTTATGTTGGCCTAACTTTGTAATGTAGACCAGGCCTCACAGCGTTAACAGTTTCACAACATATCAAGTAAATTCAGCAAATGCACTTGTCCAGTGTAGCTGGGTGTACCTGGTATTCTGGCTGATGTTTCACACTTTTGAATGGATGTTCCTTAGAAAGTTACTGACAGATCACCTTCATTTTTTTATTTTTAAGCAGTGGAAGTACTTAAACAACTAGATGGGAGCCAGGCTGTCCCATCCTCCTCTGTAGGAAAAGGGGCAGAATTAAACTAAGGGCTTGTTTACATGGTGGGGTAATGCACTCTGTCAGGGTATGATTTCTAAAGCAGGGGTTCTCAACCTTTTTCTTTCTGAAGCCCCCCTCAACATGCTATAAAAATTCCAGGGCCCTGCAGGAAAGGGGGGGACAGACTCAGGGCTCCGGGCCAGGCCCTCAGGCATAGTTATAGTTTGACTTCTATTGGGGGTGGGGGGGCAGGGGCCAGTGGGACTTGAGCCAGCTCCACACAGCAGGGTCCAGGAAGGCAGTGCCACCTCCACCCCCTGACTCACCTCAGCAGGCCACCCAGCCTGTCTGGGTTGTGTGTGATGGGGGTTCAGCTCAAACAATTTGAAAAGTGCTCAGGGTGCAGGCAGGGGGCAGCTAGGGGCTGTGTGCAGGCACGGGGGTAGCTCAGGATGCAGGGAGGCTGGTAGCTAGGGGCAGTGTGCAGGCGGGGGAGTAGCTCAGGGTGCAGGGATGGGGTAGCTAAAGGCTAGAGGGGGATGTGCCAGGCAGCAGCGCTCCCACCCCTGGTGCTCCGGCCAAGCCGTGCAGCCAGCCCCAGTGCTCCCAGCCACCCTGCCTCCCTGAGGGAGGTGGGGCAGCCAGTCCCGGTGCTCCCAGCGGTGTGGCACTAGCACCAGCTGCCCTGCGTCCCTGCAGGAGGCAGACCAGCCAGCCTAAGCCAGCAAAGGCAGAGCGCTGGAATGCAGGGGGGGCCTGGCCTGGGGGCGGAGCATGGGCAGGGCCATGCTAGGTTGTTTGGGAAGGCACAGCCTACCCCTGTCTACGACACCCGCCGCCCATGCCTGCTGTAGAAGATGGAGAGACTCACTGCCAAAGAAGAAACCTCAATTTCTGCATTAAATAAACCAACTGTATCCTGTCACAGCAGAGTCTTTGAGAAATAAATCTTCCTCTGAGGATACTGATTCCTTCAATAAAGAAACTTCCACATTCTGTGAACTGCAGCAAACCAGCCTTGTCTTTCTGAGACCTTCTTGATGTATTATACAGAAATGATAAAGGTCAAGTACATTTTCTTTGCTTTTCAGCTCACTGAAGTCACTTTCATCTTCTTCCTGAGACAATGTAATGACAGAAACTCACCTTCTCATCCTTTCAGAGGTGCAGTTTTGGTAATGAGGGGCCCCGGTTTTGCCCTACATACTTGAGACTGTGTTAGGAGCAATGATGGTTCAGCTGGAGAATTCTGAGCAAGGACAATTATCTCAAAATACCTGCTCCAAGCAGGCTCTGACCACAATTTCTGAAGCAGTATTGAATATATAGTTTGTCCTTGGCTACAGTTTGACATAAAATTGTGATTAATGCCAGTTCAGCTACACCGATAGCTGGCACTCATTTTCAGCAACAAGTAATTTTGCTAGGTTTAGGAGTATTCTACTGCAGGCCTTTAAAATAATCTAAAGTCAATTATGTGATATCTGGTGCTACTGCATTTACAAACAAGCATTTTATACTGATTTTGGTAGGAAGCTGTTATTAAAATCGCATCAGAAAATCTACATGTAAAACTAAGGTATTTCACTCTCCCCTCCCCCGACTGGAGTTCTATTCTGTGGCCATTTATTAAAAACTATTTTAAATCTGATAAACCTGACTGGGGAGAGAAACTCATTTTCAAAGTGACTTGGCTGTATTCATGGCAGTTTTCTCTAACTGAGAGAGGCTTTCAGATTGAGACTCCCATCTTTAAATTGTAAGCTTTTTACATGTAAGAAACAGGGTATTTGTGAAACTAAGTTGACATTTTCCTCTTAAAATAAAGAGTTACGGGTATTTTAACCAACAAGCGGAAGTGAGTACTGGTCTCTCTAAGGTTCTGATTGTGCAAACACTTGCACACCTGCTTAACAGTATTCACATGAGTAATATCATTGAAGTCAATGGGACTACATATACAAGTAAAGCATGTGCATAAACGTTTGATGAATTGGAGCCCACATTTACAAAGACTGGAAAGAAATGCAAAGGATGTTAGTGTTAAAATTACAAATACTTCATATTCAATAGTAAAATTCTCAGAGAAACTTCTACTACTTTCAAGATTTTTCAGGTTTAAGATACAGAAACGTGCATGTGTGTGTCCACAAATATATAACTGACCCCATGCTCTAGTGACAAAGCAGATTGCTGCCACACAGGGTTCCAAATCTGGGTGCCCCATTGAACAGGTTAGCAGGCAACGCTAGCAACACTACCTCAACCCTTCTGAAAGGAGTTCATTCTCTTTACTCTTAAGTGAGCCTCTATTTGACTGATGCTCAGAGCACCCAACCTGGGTTGGCCAGACAGAAAGTTCCTGCAAGGGGCTGGGAGGGGGAGTTAAAGTGTGAATGGAAGCAAAGGAAAGTAAAATAGTTAAAGTACCTGTTTAAATAATAAGACTTAGTAACAGAAGAGTAAAATAACATTTATTTGTGCAGATTTAAACTAAGTATAGTACCCACACAGGTTAATGGCAATATTTGCAGTGTAAAAGCAATTAGCCGCCATTATGGAAAACATCAAATCAAGATTACTATTATGGAAATATAGTTCCATTTGATGTACAGAAACTATGACCCAACACTATTATCTAAAAATGTAAGGATCCTTTTAAGCATAAAACCTGTCTGGCTTCCATGTCACAGAAAGCTGCAGAAGCAGATTTTTTCTCAGGGCTTCTGCAACTTTCCAAGTTATGGAAACTTTATGTTTGTTTTTTTAACAACAGAATTGAGTCTAATGACTCAGAAAGACAGATGCATAGGAGCTGCCACAGTAAAGAGAAATGAAAAAAGCAGATAGGAAAACACTGAATAGACTTACCAAAAAGCAGAATTGTCTCATTACAAAAAGATGATAAACTCCATCTCTTTCAAAAAGCGTGATGGCTTGAAGTGTCGCTGAACTAATTTTCTAATGCTACAATTTCCTATGCATTCTACTGACAAAATGTGAGTGGCACTTCATTTGAAGAATAGTTGGTGTTCAACTAACCAGCACAAAGCCCCAAAAGTCACACTAACTCATGTTAAACTTTAATATGCTAAAAACATAATAAATCTAATCAGGATCTAGCATTTACCTGAACTGACCAAGGACCTCTGGGTTGTGTTCCGACTGTTTCACAAGTGAAGACTCTTCTTTGCCTGATAACTTCAGTTTATCATTCTGTGGCACAGGCTCCTCCAAATGGTAGAGTCAATGTATTGCAATTAGGGAAACAGCTCATCTTACAGCTCACCTAAAGAAAACAGAACTGAAACTAAAAACGGCTTGATCTGTTTTTAGCTAAGTTCGTACTTTAAAAACCTACCTCAACCCTTCTGAAAAAGTATTTCAAATAGGTCTTTATTACTTTATAAAAACATTTTAAATCTTATACAAGGAAACTTATTAATATTGCTTAATATAAAGTGGCTCCAAATTATTTTGGCAATTAAAACTGATGGTTGCTTAATACGATTTTGGCCAGAAAATACAATTTAGTGAACTTTCACTTTTGCTGCCTTTCAGCACAACTAAGAGAAAACTTAACATTGGTGGGGGATGGGTTTAATCACTGCACATTGGGAGGAGGTTTTCAATGAGCTATCCACAATGACACTCATATCTTTTTCATGAGTGATTACAGTTAATTTAAAACTCAGAAATATATCTAAGTAGTTCAAAGTCATTCCTGGCAACTAACTTTACCTTCCATTTGTCAATACTGAATTACATCTGCCATCATGCTGCCCATTCACCTGATTTATTAGGTCCCTTTGGAGTTCCTCACAATTTTCCCTAATCTTGAAAAACATTAATAATCTTTGTCACCTATAAACTTAGCCGCCTTACTTTCATTTACAGATCATTTATTAACGCATTAAAACCAGCCCCAGAGCAGATTTTTAGGAACCCTAATGTTAGCCACTCACAATATTGAAAATTGACCATTTATTTATACTCTTTTCTTTTTCTTAGCCAGTTACTAATCTATGGCAAAACTTTACCTCCAAACTCATGACTTCTTATTTTGCCTAATAGCATCTTGTTAGGAACTTTTTCAAAAGCTTATTGAAAGTCCAAATAAATTATGCCAACTCTTTGTCTTCTCCTTCATCCACTATTTTGTTGACATTGTCAAAACAATTCTAGTAGGCTAGAGAGATTTTCTTTTACAGAGCCATGCTGGTATGTCCTTTTTTAAAATCTAATTATTTCTTCAACCAATTTCTCTTTTACTGAAGTATGGATCATGGGTCTATAAGTGCCAGGATCATTCCTAGTGAATTTTGAAAATCGTATGGCATATACAACATTTGCTAGCTTCCAATCTTTTGTTAGCTGCTCAGCCAATTAATTCCTCAGAATTCTCAAATTAATACCATCAGGTCCTGGTGACTTATTGATCTTTATTACTTTATTCTTGCACCTAATTTTTGACACCTTATTCTGACAGTGCCTAAACTGTATTACCCGAAAAGATTATTAATCTCCACAACATCCTTTGCAGTGAAAACCCAATACAAATAAATCATTTAGTTTCTTTTCAATGTCCTTATTCTCACTGTGAAGGAGTGGACTTACTGCTGCAGTGCCTCCTGATGGCCAGAGGTGGTGTAGCAACTCTCTCCCTTTCCAGCAGCACCCCATTCGGATGGCTGCTCTGGTCTTCCAGTGGTCCACCTTCCTATGAGTTGGCCCTCTGGCCAGGTCACAATTTAATCCGCTCTTTTCAGGGTAACAAGAATTCCAATGAAACAATGTCTAATACCTTCTATCAGATCTTTGGCCAGGACTCTGAGCCCCATGGTCCTGACTCCCTTTTCTGAGGGCTGTCATCCTTGTGCCCTTCTCCAGCCTCACACCACCATACAACTGCTGGTAGGGAAACCCGGGCCCTCTCACTACAACCAGGTTTCAGCCCAGTGACCCTATAACCAGCAGCGAAGTAATGCTCAGTCCAACTCTTTGCTGCTGCTTCCCTGGGTTTCTTCCTACTCAGTTTCTCAGTCCTTCCCCTCACAGCCTCTTTAAACTCTCTCAAGACCCTCCCCTGGAATCCACTAACAAAATCCCAGCATAAAAGTATAAACAAAAGCCCACTTCTGACTTCCTTGGGTCTGCCTTTACATCCCTCTCACTTAAATGCCTCTCAGACTCCCTCCCTGGGAGTCCAGCTCCTGCCCTTTTGCCATGTGTTGGAATTATTAATAATATTTGAAATTATTAATATGGGAAACCAAACGCTAATTTAACCATAAATTCCTTTATTAAATCCCAGTGTACCAATATAGTTGCTCTAAACATGCCTAAAAAGCCTCAGAAATAAGCAATTTACTACATCTGAAAAGTAACAAAACATTTATAAGCATTTGATCAAGATACTTACAAACAGGCTAATCCCAGGGGTGCTTAGACCCATGTTGATGGGCTCCAACGTGGTCAGGCAGATATGAACAATGAACTCTAACAGAGTTTACTTTTTTATAACCATCAAGAAGCAAGTGATGTCATTTCCAAGTACTGACTTCAGCTAAAAACAAATTTGAGACAGTGTGACGTTCCCCTGGTGTTATCTGGACCAGCGATCTGCTAGGTCACTCCAATCCTCGACTCTGGGAGCCAGCCTTACCCTGCTCCGCTGTGAGAACCCCCACACCCAGGCTGTTCACGCACAGCCTCTAGCATGTAAGCTTCTCCCAGCTACGTGAGTGAGTACTTTTGGCCAGCCGCTCCTTGGATTGTGCAACCGAATGACACTAGCCAATATCTCCGGTCCCAGACACTGTTACCAGAAATTGGGTCAGCTAGTAAGCTTAGGGAGGACTAATGACCCACTAGCGTTTGGCAGAAAGCAGCACGTTTATTATACTGATAGCTAAGCTCAAAGGAAGGGGGGGGCACACTCACACTCGCATACTCACGCTCCCAGGACAGGCACAGCACTGGAGATGTTAGGATCCTTGAAGGTAAGTGTTCCATAGTGCAGTGATGGACGGCGTGATGAAGGCAAGTCTTCCCAAGACATGATGAAATGCAACGCAGTGAACCACTGGCCAGGCGGTCCGGACGAAGGGCCTTCATGGGAGGTACAAGCTTCTGAGTGTCCTTTTGAGCACATGGCCCCTTCCCCTTTTAAGGACCTGCTCTTCAGGGCCTGCGACTAGAGATGACTTGGCCGCGTCTGGTTGGTCACACTCCACCTCGGGCAGTGTCCATACAGTGGGTGTGTGTGCTGCCTAATTACAGTCCCAGACACCTTGTCTACCTGGAAGCTCTTTTGATCTTCCAGCTGTTCAACCAGCCCATTCGTCCCACAAGCATTCCAGGAGGAATGAGGAGGGGGAAAGCCACTTCACAAGTATTCAGAGAGGGAGAGGAGACAAAAAGGGGGGGGGGGGAAAATATAACAGACCTTTTGAGTATACAGGTTATACATAGCATAGTTATACAGAGCATACAGATCACTGCTGCTCCTACAACAGACCTCCGTCTTGCAGTGTCCCGTTATGCCCGCTGGATGCTGCAAACTTATATGAGTTTGTCAATTTAACAAAGAAATTGATATGTACGAGGCTTGTTATCCCAAGGGGAGTCTCTGACACACTTCAAACCAAATGCACTGCTTCAGGTAGAATAAACAAACAAATTTATTAACTACAAATGATAGATTTTTAAGTGATTATAAATCAAATCACAAGAAGTCAGATTTGGTCAAATGAAATGAAATCAAAACACTTTCTAAGGTGATCTTAACACTTTCAGTGCCCTTACAAACTTAGATGCTTCTCACCACAGGCTGGCTGGTTACCCTTCAGCCAGGCTCTCCCCTTTGATCAGCGCTTCAGTCGCTTGGGGTGGTGTCTGTAGATAGAGATGGAAGAGAGAGAGAGAGCATGGCAAACGTCTCTCCCTTTTATCATTTTCTTTCTTCCCTCTTGGCTTTGCCCCCCACCTTCAGAGTCAGGTGAGCATTACCTCATCATAGTCCCAAACTGACCAAGGGAAGGGGGGTGATTCACTCGAGAGTCCAACAGATCCTTTGTTGCTGCCTAGGCCAGTGTCCTTTGTTCCTGTGAGGCTGGGCTGGATTTGTCCCATACATGTCCTGATGAGGCTTGAACTGCATCTCTGCTCCTAGAGAGTTTTGCCTGGGCTTGTTTTAAGCCATGAGGACACATTTTCAGCCTCATAACTATACACATGATTACTATAACAACAATGCTCAGTGCATCATGAGCCTTCCGAAGACACCTGACATGACATGACAAATATAGCATTTGATACCACACAATCATATTATAAGGATGAACATGGGGGAGCAGGGTGTTCCCCGGAGATACAGAGCGTCTCAGACAGTTCACCCTTATTTCCAGTCTTCATCCAGATAAGATTTACAACCTCCTTTCTTCCCAAGGCCTTTCCTTCCCTCCTTCTCACTGACCAAGTTTTTCCAATGCACCTGAATTCCCACAGGAGATAAGTGGTATGTGGGATGGTAAGGGCCATGTTGGCTCATTTTAAGACACATTAAGACATCTGCAGTCACCCCTATCGGTCAGAGGCCTTCTTTTTAGAAACTTTCCCTTATCTCATTATTTATTCTTTGAGCCAGACATCCTCCCTACTACAGTCCTTCTGGCTTTATAACTTATTATTTTCAAGGCTTTCCGTCTACCTTCTAGTCAAGGCCTTTCTTTATAACACATATTTCCTTAAGATAAATATGAAATTAAAGAATTAGAATTATCCTACTTTCCCTACCTTAAAACCCTACGTACTACATCAGATTTACTACATTAAGCATTTTAACATACTTTTTTTTGCAGCATTTTGTACGACTAATAAACTTGACAATACAAAATCAAAATTACAATTACCACAATTGTATTGACAACTAACAAAACTTTGAATGACAATTTTTACTGTGGATGTAATCCCATGTTCTATGCTTATTCCCATCAGGAGGGCTAGTTAACTCCTGAATTCCCTCTTCCTGCCTATTAAGCTTTTAACATCCAGGCTCAAGGGGAAAATACTAGGCCCCAACTTCGGTACGGCTTTTGCAGCCTCCTCCTGTAATCTCAATTCAGCCTGTAATTCAGTTACATTATAAAAAATGGACATGTGATATAAAGTCTTTCCATTTATCACTACAGTGAATTTTAGTGTGAAATACAATCAAAATAAGAGTCTTTGGATCCATACCAAAATGGTTACTTCTAGCCACCACACAATATTTATCATTCCCAGCATAAACAGTTTTTACTTCACCAGTTCCCCCAGCATCTCAACCAGACTGTGTAGTTTGGAGACTGCTCCCCCAAAGTGAACCTGCATGCCAGCCCAGCAACTCTATCTGTAAAACATTACACCTGCACATGTAGGTGTCCCTCAGGTGCGAGCAACAGGACAAGTCTGGGGTTTTCCTGACCTTATAATTATCTTGCCTCAGTATTTGAAGAGGAAAAACAAACTTTTTCCAAACCTTACAAGTTGCAGTGTCTTCCAGTACTCCTACTGGTAGTGCTTTAACAATGGTTTGAATGACCTGGTGTTCTGTAATTACTGGGATGGATAGCGTGAGTGGGATAAGGAGTTCCATACCCTTTTCACAATTTACCCCACGGTATTGGACCCTTGTGAGGTTTTTTTTGGTTTTACACCAATCAATATTCTCTTTGCCATACCAAGTTTTCAGTTTCTCTGTAGTGATAAAAGAAGGCACTTTACCTTGCTCTGAATCAGTGAGAGTGGCTTTGATTTTGTCTGGTGCATACCTTCCATACATAGCACATGATGGCCCTGGCTATTGTCCCTCATTGATGATCCTCATTGGCTTGGTTGATTATTTCATTCACTTTAGGCTGTACTTTCTTAAACAAATTAACTATATCATGAGTATTAGACAAATTCAAAACTTCTTGATTAATGAAGTTCTTTGCTTTGCTCATATATCAGGCTGAGTATGTCCATAGCCAGCTTGTGCTGGAAGGCTCGTTCATGTTCTCACATGGTCTCAATCTCCACCTGGTTTCAGAGTGATGCTCTGTCTCCAAACCGCATTGCCACATCACTGGCAAATAGGCTCCATTGGCTTCACCTTTGAATTGATCCCCGGTACATCCCTTGTTCCAGTTCAGGTGGTAGCTAGGGGATTTCTCATGATGGCTCCCCCTTTTGTTCTGTTCCACCCACTTATATATCTTTTGCATAAGGCGGGAATCCTCTCTCCTTCTCAATGGAAAAGCACCAGGTTAAAGATGGATTCCAGTTCAGGTGACATGATCACATGTCACTGTAAGACTTCATTACCCACTTGCCAGCATACATGTATACAGGAAGACTTACAAGTAAAACAGAGCCATTTACAGTCAATTGTCCTGGTTAATTGGAGCCATCAAGATTCCAAACCACCATTAATGGCCCACAACTTTGCATAATTACAATAGGCCCTCAGAGTTATATTTTATATTTCTAGTTTCAGATACAAGAGGGGTACATTTATACAAATAGGATGACCACACTCAGTAGAGTATAAGCTTTGTAATGATACCTTACAAAAGACTTTTTGCATAGTTCACACTCATCAGCATACATTCATCAAATCATATAGAGTGCAATGTCACACTTCTTACTTAATTACTTGTGGCCTTATTATTTTCATGGCCTTCTTTCCACCTGCTAATCAGGGCCTTTCTTTACAACACTATAGTTCCTTAATCAATCTTAAACTAACTCTAATTCTTTAATATCATATTTATCCTACACCAGGGCTTCCCACCTGAGCCTGCTCCACCCCAGTGGCTGTTCTCTGTCACTCCTGGCCACGTGCCAGACTCGAGGTAGGATTCCCAACTTTCTATTCACACAAAACCAAACACCCAGGGCTGGCTTTAGCAAGAGCGGGGCCCGATTCCTGGGGGCGGGGCTTGCTGCAAGCCCCGCCCCCAGGAATC